CAGGTTCCTGACTTTGGACAGGCACATAAAGAAAGTGCACGTGGTGGAGTTTAACATGTATGTGAGCGCTAAACCCTATCCTAACCTCGGACTGTAGTGTAACAGCACAACATAAGAAAAAAAATGTAAAAAACATTTTCAATTGGCTTAACTCAATAGATCGGTATGACTGAATATAAATCCATCGGGGGTGATCTCGGGTGCTCCGGAAGGGTAAGCAGATTCTGCTTAACGTGTGGCACCCGTCGTGTTATTCGTGAAAGTACAAACCCAGTGATTTGGTTTTATTTGGTAGTTCACATTCGAGGAAAAGATGACGGGATTGTGGTTACGATAACTGGAACATATCCGTCGTCACCTGTGAAACAGATATTCCAAAAAGTTAGTTTTTTTAATTAGTGCGAGGTATATCAGAGAATGCAATTTATAAAAATAAAAGATTAATATTCGTATATGTTAAAATGATCATACACGCTAAAAAAAATCGGAGAATTCTTATTTTATAGAATTGATGCTTTGTCGCTTAGTCCGATCCCCCCATTTCCCTGTAACTTTAGTGTGAGTTGATTTAAAGTGTCTCATTTGTTGACATTTGTTGACCATAAAGTACAAGTCTTTTGATTTGTGTCGAGCCTGCGACATTAATGTAGCGGCAGTGAGACACAACAAACCTATATTCCGTCGTCGGTAGTGGCGTTGGCGTCTTCATCATTTAGATCGTTAGGTTTCTCGTTTGAATTGTTTTTACATTTTTCATTTCGGGACCTTTTATAGCTTACTATGTTATGGGTTTTGCTCATTGTTGAAGACCATACAGTCACATATAGTTGTTAACTTCTACGTCATTTGGTATGTGGTTGAGAGTTGTCTCATTGGCAATCATACCACATTTTCTTATTTTTATATAAGGTTTTTTTTGCATTAAATATTACCGAATTAAACTGTTTTGACATGATAAATTTGTAAACCTCCATGAAATGTTATAAAACTTGTATAGGAGTTATTCTTCAAGATCAAGATAAAGCATCTACAGAAAAACATTTTTTTTTAAACTTTTTTTTTACCGATAAATGTACCGATAAATGTACAGTCAACATTACACTTTTACACTGACAGCAGCAATATCAGGCGAGACACAGGGTTCCGTGGAATCTTTTACGAATTATTTATAATACTGCCTCCATTTGAGAACTATGGAAAAAAAACGGCAGGACCAAGTGGTTAGGGGATATCCCCCTTATGTCCGAAATACTGTTAATTTTTTAGTACTTTTTCTAATTTTTGTCTGCCGTTCCCCTTTTTCATACCAAATAACTCTGAACAAGAACTCGAACTTTAATTTGAACTTTAACTCAATTGATAGCGATACTCATCCAAAGCATATTAAACATACGACATATGGAAATCGGTTTAAAAATAGAACATATTTTTTTCCGAAATAGTCACGTGGTTTTACCTCATCAAATAATGTGATAACCACATCAAAGAATGACAGGGCCACATCAAATACTGAAACAAACACATCATGTAGTGTAAAATCGTCAAATTTTGAAACATCATTACGGAATGTTAAAGCCATATAAAGAATTGGCAAATCATCATTACGAAATAACAAAATCACATCATGTAATGAAACAACTACATTACGTTAAGTCACATACACGTCAAGTAATGTTAAAACCACATTGCTTAATGACACAACCACATTAAATAATGGTGAAACCACATCGAGTAATGACAAAACCATATTGAGTAATGACAAAACTATATCAAGTCAATACGAAACCATATCGTGTAATATCGAAATATCATTAAGTAATGACTATTCCATATTGAGTTATATCAAAACATCATTACGTAATGTCAAAACCATATTATGTAAAGACAAAATATCATCAAGTAATAATAAAACAACATAACGTAATATCAGAGTTCCACATAAGACAGCTGTGGCGTTCCATAAATAACACGTAAGAGTAATTGTATAACGGATGACCAGAGCATATGTATACAAGGATATTGTTCACTTTATTATGAATTACTGTATACCTATATGGAGTTATTTTCTTTCAGAACGATAGGTCATTCTTTCGAAGAATCAACCCGGACGATACCAAGTTTCAATGAAATATGCTTCAAGGCGTAAAATAATGACATGCGTGAGGTCATTATTTTCGCTGATCAAAATGCAAATATATAATTTACTAAACTAAACATTTAATTCGTTTGATAGTTATCGTGTGTTGTTGCCAGTTGGGGGTTTACTTTTTAATATTCCATCTTTGATAAGTTTAAAGCAGAAACAATCCTTTCCTCTGTTTATTAGATTCACACTGTATTGGAAATCATACTTTGTCCTATAAATGTATAGATATTCGTTTTTCGTTTTTCGTGTTACATGTACATGTATCACGATTTCGTGCTCTCTTCGTGCCATTTCTTAACTTTTTACATCTATATATAGCTTTTACTCTATCAATTGATCAAATGACCTTATATTCTTATTTTCTATAGATTAACAGCCACGTACTTTATAATGGGAGGAGGGGGAGTATAAATTTAATCCTGATTCTTGGTTTAAAAAAATGTATTGCCATTCAAAAGAAAATTATTCTGAATAGTTCAATTTGTTAAAAATTGTTGAAAAAAAAATCTGCTTTTCCGCGATAAAAATGTCATGAAAAAAAACCCTTAGCATCCCCCTTTCATAAACCAAGTTGGTTCGATAAATTACAAAGTGACTTGTATTTTTCATGCACCGTTATCGGGCGGTATCATTTGTGTCTTGTTTCATGCAGTTACAGTAATATTTTCATTGTGCCTGGATAATGATTTCTAAAGTTTACTAGTATATCAATATTAATTAGTGAGTCTTGTTTCACATTATAAATGACTTATGATTCACATTATGAATGACTTATGATAAGTCAATGGTATTTTGTATGCAGTTGTATTAGCATTGGCACATCTCATTTCCATGGAAATTGTTAGTCCTGTACCTTCGATTTGAATATTTGCATAACTTACAGCTTAAAGTATTGCTACTTTAACTTCAACATTTGCATTATCAAAATAACAAAAAGGCGAGACATATCTCTGTGTTAACAGTTTATTTATTAATAATTTATCACTTAGTTGATTTTACATTTAGTTAATAAGTTTTAGATGAGACTCAAAGAGTTGTAAGATAATGACATCAATGTGTAGGATTTTCAAGACAAAGTAAAAATGGAGATCCTGGCCACATGGCTTGTAATGATTCAAATGATGACTGCGACATAAGGAGAGAGTATCAAAGTAAACAGAAGGCGAAGATTGTACTTTTGAGTGTGTTGATGGTGGTCCTTAAATTCTAAATTCTGTAATTTTTAAGCCAGTTTTGTCTATTCTTTATAAATTTTGCCCCTTATTCTCCATTATTTATATTTTAGCACCCGATTATTCTCTATTCTTTTTTTTCTTTTTTTTTTTTGCCTAATATTCTCTATTCTGTATTTTTGGCCTATTTTTCTCTATTTTGTATTTTTGGCCTTTTTTTGTAGTATTGGCTCACTATCATCTAATCTTTATAACCCATCCAGACCCTCAAGTGTTATTTACATATATAGAAAGATATTAAGGTAAACTGTTTAAGTCATAGTGTGGTGATTCTGACATAAGATAACACTCATATTGTTTCCTTATGTCGTATTATGAAACAAATTCGTTAGGGAAGGAAACACTTATTTTACAAGTGCTCTATATATTTTTAGATTCAACTTTTTCAGTCATTTTGTATGAATGTCTATTGAGTACCTTTATAGCTTTAAAAAAAAAAATGCGAGTAGTGTATATAAGTGCGTTCAGGATGATAATGGGACATGTTTGTCAATTATGAACTAAGTTTTTCAAAAAATCAATGTCCAGTCTGTTAAGTCGATTGATAGCATTTGAAATGAAAGTCAATTGGTAAATACAATTCTCCGAAGTCACTTGTTATGGGATTTTTCAACATTGTTCAGAGTATGGTACAGTGAATTTTATGTGAATTATTAATTAACATTATTTGAATAAAGTTGATACTGTAAATAATTCAACAGATGCTTTTATATATGGACCTGTTGTACATGAACTAAGTATAATCCTGGCTTATCTTAATTATAATGACTTCTTTCTCTAGGCAAAATCTTCCCAAGGGTTGACTAGGGCATAGAAGTATGGTCATTCCTTGACTTCTCTCTTCCGACAGGAAACACCATGGCTAGAGTGGGGCATCCGTTTGGTTGTGCGGAATGTATGCATACGCAGCAAAGTCTGGTCGGTATAGAGATATATATCCGATGCCTTGTGTAGGATGAGTGACACGCTCTCTGCAATTCAAAGAACACTTGCCAAAATTCTCCGAGGGGTCCATTAGTAGCCTGTTTCAATACAATATTTTTGCCCCTATCAGTATACCCTCATTTGCAGAAGAAGTCCAAATTTCCCGCTCTTAATGTCAGTTATCATTCAGACATTCTTTACAGAACCTACTTACTGTATTAATTGTTCTCGTCCTAACGCACAAAATATTTGCCACTGGGACGTGAAGCAAGTAGCAATCAATTTAATTTTAGGACAATCAACGCAAAAATACAATTTCACATTTCTGAATAAAGCATTAATTAAATCTTATAGATTATGTTTCATAACAAATGATGCGCATTTCTAAATGCAAACATATAAGTCATGCTTACAAATGTATTCAAGAGAGGCGAAAGATATCAAAATGACATTCAAACTACTAAGTCAAAGACAAATTGACAACGCCATGGCAAAAACGAAAACGACAGAAAGATATAACAATGTATAATTTCAAATGGCAAATAGGTAACCATATACTCTAATTGTTACATATTTATATACAGTATATTGCCCCCTCTCCATACACCAATCCGGAAAACCCGCTCTCCCAATTCTTAAACTTGTTTAGTATTTTAACTGTATGTATATCATGTGCAATTATATTTTTTGTATTTCAGTACGAAGAGAAATGGCATGAGTTCCATGCCTAGATTGTGAGAAAAATAATGCAGATTTGTAACAGAAAGACATTATATTACATGTAAGTAGCATATTAAGCAAGTTTATTCTGACAAAAAGAGAGGACAATCAATCTGGATTAAAAGATTTGAGAAACAGAAAATTAACATGTTAACAGGGTCATGTGGACCCTTTGGCTAAAACGGCTTTGTTGTCACCTCAAAATTTACTCCGAGTACAGACAATACAGCTTTGGTAAGAAATATTTAGTGTATATTGATCTGATGAGTTAAGCCCTTTTCATCTGGTTTTTGTATTGCCTTGGCGGAGTCAAAAAAGCGAGACTAAGGTATGCTGTTTCAGACGGCGGCGGCGGCGGCGGCGGCGGCGGCGTCAACAATATACAATTGTGATTAGGTCAGTTTACGGGGAACCACTAGTGGAAGGTCAATGATATTTGATATGCAGTTGTACATGCATTGGCACATCTAATTTCCATGGATATAATTTGGTCGCGCCCCCTCAGTCATGGTCTATTGTCTTTGAAACTTTTGTTTAATTTACATGTATTATTTTTGATTTGGTTAGTTTAAGGCGACTACTAGTGGTAGGTCAATGTTATTTGGTATGTAGATTCATAAGCATTGGTACACCTCTGTTCCATGGAGATTATTTGGCTCCGCCCCTTCAGTCATGTTCTATTGACTTTGAATGTTTTGCTTAGTTTACATGTTCAAGTTTGTGATTAGATCAGTTTAGAAGAACCACTAATGGTAGTAAGTCAATGATATTCGGTATGCAGTTGTATTATCATTTACAAGCGTCTTTTCCAGGGAGATTATATGGCACCGTCCTTTCATCGTGGTTCATTGACTTTGAAACTTTAATTTAAAGTTAAAGTTTGTGTATTGGTTAGTGTACAGGACACCACCTATGATAATTCAATGGTATTTCGTAAGCAGTTTTATAACCATTGGCATATATCTTATGTGTCAACATTTTATGCATCAACTAATTTTTATAATTTGTTTGTACTGTTTATTCAAAACACACTCAGACGCAGATTTTCTGCGTAACAGGAGCGACAAATACACATAAATTTACGAATAACATAGAAGCGAAATGAGTAGAATAAATAAAATAAAACAGAATAAATATTTTTTTTTTCACAAAACTAAATGTATACTTCATCTATTGACCAGATCGCAAAACGTCCGTGCAATCTGTAAAGTTTACATAACCACGTGATCACATGAACACAATAAAATGATAATGGATAGTAACAAAAAGTGTAACATATATAAATATATTCATATGTGATGATTTACAGAGAAAGCAGTAGTTTTTCAACTTTTTGAATGAAAATAGAAAGGTTAGTTAATACATTTAAGTTACACCACTATCCCAGGTTAGGTGAAGGGTTTGGCACCAGCAAATATGTTAAACCCCGCCACATTCTGAATGTGCCTGTCCCAAGTGAGCCTGTAATTCAGTAGTTCTCGTTTATTGCTGTTTTTCGTTTATTGTTTTGTACATTAATCATACACTAATTTATTGACAGATCAATTTAGTTAACATAACTCTTGCTTCTTATATTTACATAGAATCCAATCTGATTAAAAAAAAACAGCTTAGCTTTTCTGGAAAAAAGAATTGATATTAAAAGGGGAATCAGTTACGAATTCGACAAAAAATAAAATATGACTTCTGTTGTTGCAAACATTTATAAAAGTGGAATAACGAAATAATAATTCCTCTAAATAAGTTCAAAAACATCATTAATGTATTATTGACTTGTAAGTAAATAATTCAACTCATTCAATTCCATATTCATGCAACCTTTAGTTTGAACTTTTTGTGCATGTATTAAGATTGTGGTGATCAGCATGATCATTCATTAAAAAGATAATTATGTCAACATTGAAAAGTGAAACAAAAATCCGATTGCACATGCTCGCTATCTATTTTTATATTTATATTTATGTTGATATCAGGTTATTTGATCGTCGGCAGTCTGCAGGGGTCATTTCGATGGATAAATAAATGGCGTCTGGTCTTAAATACGTTGGAAATGCTTAAAGCGAGCCCATACATTGTTGATTGTTTCTGTTTATCATGTTACATTTGACAGGTTTGAAACGCATTCCCCAAGTATCAGCCCATGTACCTTAGGTGTCAATGTATTTTTGTAGCTCCGAGCAGTCTTAGTTATTGTTTATTTCTCTATAGTACTTACAATCGTCTGCAAATAGTCTATTCTTCGATGTCACATGATCCGCTATGTCGTTAATATGAAAAAGGAACGGTATTGGTCCGAAAACTGCTCCCTGCGGGACTTCTGAAAGTACCACTGAATCACCTGGTGTACTCCCATTTACAACTACGCATTGCGACCTGTTAGACAGAAATGAGTCTATCGAGTACTCCCAAATCGTACTCTCGTGTTAATTTGACCTGTTGACACAATTTGTAATGCATTTTAATGTTGACTTATTTTGTGTTATATCTCGTATCACTATTTTTAATATTTACCACCTTTGATAAGTATTTAGTATGACGATAAATTTTCATTTCTGTACTGGTACTCTGAACATTTATTTATGTTTACTTCCGTACTCCTAACAACAAAATTATTATATTTAAATTTACCTGTGTACGTCTTTTTATTTTACGCCATTTTATATATTGTGTCATAGATCTAACTTATTCGTTCAGTGTATGTTTACTCTTTTTTGTTTAAATGTCTTTTGTTCGAGTTAAGCCATTTCAATTTTATAGTGTGTTTTTTATGTTGTAATGTTACACTACTGTCTCAGGTAAGGGTGAAGGTTGGCGCCTGTTAAAACGTTTAAATCCGCTGCATTTTTACGCACCTGTCCTAAGTCAGGAGCCTGTTGATCAGTGGTTGTCGTTTGTTGGTGTGGTTCATAGGTATTTCTCGTTTCTCTTTTTTATATAGATTAGACCGTTGGTTTTCCTGTTTGAATTGTTTTATACTAGTCATTTTGGGGCCCTTTATAGCTTGCTGTTCGGTGTGAGCCAATGCTCCGTGTTGAATGCCCTACTTTGACCTATAATTGTTAACTTTTTATACATTGTGACTTGGATGGAGAGTTGTCTCATTGGCACTCATACCACATCTTCTTATTTATAATGATGTTTTTGTTTTGGTACGCCATGTTTGTGGAGTTTTTTTTTAAGTAGTTCGTGTGGTACTGTGTCGAATGCATTTTTAAAATCTAAAATTAAAGAAAATGTCTACTTGTTGCAGGTTATCGATGGCACTTGTCCAATCATGAATGACATTTACTATAGTGTGTGATAACATTTAGTGAGGGAATTCGATGTTTGCTATACCACGGTTCATTTGAAAATGAACGCACTTAATGACAAAACCACGAAACCAATCAGAATTAAATGTTTTGCAGTGTTTTAAGAAATGATTTTACTTTGTATCCATGTATTATTTGTGAAACAATAGATGTTTTAAAAGGCGAATTTTCTGTATAAAGTCAATAATTATGTAGACTTTTGAAGCCCAAACTTTCTATTGCCTTAAATACGCAAATGAAAGATCCGAAAACTGTACCAATACAGAACGACATGTTTTTGAAATGATAGCAAAAGTTTTGGTTGACAAATTCGTTATTGCAAAAAAATAACCTAATATATCTGTCATTTTCTATCTACCCAGTTTACCCCTATTCCTTATTATGATGTGGACAGGTCATTGTTAATGAATCTTACGCAATTTGATTGGATTAATAAGTTATTTTTAGTTTACCTTCAAACTGTTTATTTTTTATGCATGTATATTCACTGTGTAGCATCGCCACCGAAAATTGGGTACCTACGAAGCGGAGAGAAAGGAGAAAAAAAAAATAAACAAGGCAAGACATCATTTAATTTAAACCATTTCTACTGTTTTGACGAGGTTTCCACTTATGAAACGATTTTCTGATAGAAAGTGCTTTAATTTTTTATGCCAACAATTAGCATACGAAGACATCATTTTGTGTTATACTTCAATACTCACTGTTCACTTAGTACCAGGAAATTTCGAGGTCAATCGCCCTGCGACGTCCCGCTGGCCTGATATTCAACTGTTTTTCATTCTTTTTCCAGACAAATTTTTAGACTATGTTAGTGTGAAATCATATTTACTGAAATTCGCTATTAAAAAGATGTTTTCTAAAGAATATCGGTTAAAACAAATCACGCCTAGGGTACAACAACTTGCTCACGTTTACAGATTTACTTTACAGCAACTTGTTTTCCAAGTGTACGGCAACTTGCTAATTTAAAAAAAAACATATGCCGTCCTTTTCAAGAAATAGCGCTATAAGTTCAAATACCTAATTATGCATTGTATTTCTTATATATCCGAGTTTTCATCAGATATTAGATGCAATGAAAGGTTACAATTTAAATACGAAACAAACGACAGCGGATAAATGTTTTTGACTTTCTTTTACACTTTTGTTTTGTCTTTGATAGGCTACTAGTATAATTAAATGATAGCTGTCCTTAGCAAAGCAAATTCAAATGATATTTTACCCACACATTTTATGTAAACTAGACTATTTGAACTCTGTTAATCTTGTGAGAAAATCTTTTTATACACACTTAAGAATGACTCGCCTTTCACTTTGATTATCCCATGTATCATCGTATTGTTTACTTGGAAAAATGTCTTCCCCATATGCTCTCTTTAAACAGACATTCAGTTTGCCAAACAAGGACCAGGCCACAAAATATAGTTTTAGATTTATAACACAGTTGACATAAATTACTAGTTAAATATCTTTTTCTTAAAATAAAACCGGTTTGTTCTCATGTTGTGCTATTCACTGTCCAAGATGAGGGGCGATTTGAGCGCTCACAAGCATGTTAAACCGCACCACATTCTATATGTGCCTGTAATTTAGTAGTTGTTGTAGGTTGCTGTCATATTGTTATTCGTTTGTCGTTTTGTTATAAATCAGACCATATCAGATATATCAGACGGGGCCTTTTATAACTGACTATACGGTATGGGATTTTCTCATTGTTGAAGGCTGTACGGAGACCTATAATTGCTTA